GCTGCGTTGGTCATTTGTAAAATTTACTTAATTTCCTTTGAAAACACAGACTCTGCTCCCCCCTCGCTCTGTTCAACTTGCGCTGCATAGTTTTTTTTTTCCCAAAACTTTATTCAGTCTGTCAGCATTGAACTGCAGGTGAATAAAACGTCTCTGCAGCGCTGTGAAAGACGCAAAATCGCGCGACACAACGAATCGATAATGAAATTCGTTGCCAATGCTTTTAATCATCGAATTTTATTGATTTTTATCGATTTTTATCGATTCGTTGTTGCAGCCCTAGTCCAGTTAACCGCTGTTTTTGTCTGTCCAAACAGGTCTCACTTGTAAATGAATCTTTGAGGCTCATTGTGATTTATCTGTTTAAATAAAGGTTGAATGAATGAATGAAAAAAGTATGTGTCCTTCAGCTCTAAGGAGGTGAACCAGTCGTTCTGGTGAACACATTCCAACACCTGCCTGATTATTAACATGTGAAAATGATCTCTCCATGGTAGATTGCTGAAAAGGACAGGTCCAAAGTGGGTCTCATCCAGTGGCGGCTGCTGAAGTTTTCTCCACTTGGGGCCTATATTCATTCAACCTTTATTTAGACAGGTAATCCCATTGAGCCTCTAGGACTAATTTACAAGAGAGACCTGATTTCAACAAAGAATGATGACAACAATGGACAACAGCAACAACAATAAACAGTTATAAAAAGTCATACTACAGTTTTTTTTTTGTTTGTTTTTTTGTTTAAATAAATGTATGGCTAAAAGAAAAATGTAACAAACAGCTAGATTCTAAGGCGAATGTAGAAACTAAAAACAGGAACATGTCAGCATTGGTCCCTGCCAGGAGTCCAACAGATTCTTAAAGCCACTTAGAGAGGTCAAAGGTCGAGAGCTTCAAATCTTTTTGTAAGATATTCCAGGAAACAGGAGCGGAGTAGGAGAAGGCCCTTTTGTCTAGTTCAGTCCTCACTGAGGGAACACTGCAGGTAATGATGTCCTGAGAGCGCACGCTGTAGCTGCACTCACGCAGAGACATGTAGGAGGAGATGTATGAAGGCAGCAGACCAAGAATAGATTTAAAGATGAAAATGTACCAGTGGGAGAGTCTGTGTGAAGTTAATGGTGACCAGTTAACCAGTGAATACTGGGTGCAGTGGTGGGTACGATAATCGCAGCCAGTTATGAATCTTAGTGCACCATGATAGACAGCATCCAACATCTGCAGCATCCAACATCTGCAGGGTTCTTGTAGGAGTGTTCATGTAAATAATGTCACTGTAATCAATGGAGGGAAGGAAAGTCACAGATACAAGGAGTTTTCTAGCATTCAGGGTTAGACAGGATCTGTTTCTGAAAAAGAAACCCAGTTTAACTTTCAGTTTCTTTACCAAGTTTTCCACATGAAGCTTATAAAGAGAGATGTGAGTCGACCAAGATACCCAAATATTTATAGGAATCAACAAACTCAATCAGGACACCATTTGGGGATAAAATCGGGGGAAGAACTGCTGGGACCAACTTCCTATTTGAAAAAAGCATCCCTTTTGTTTTGTCGGCATTTAGGACAAGTTTGAGGTGAAACAAATCTGTCTGGATGATGTTGAATGCAGATTTCAAAAGCTGGAAAGCCTTAGCAACAGTTTTAGCTCGACAATAAACAACTGTGTCATCAGCATAGAAATGTATGGATGCATTAGGGATGTTTTTACCTACATTACCTATATAGATTGTAAAGAGGTGGTATGTGGTGGAGTGGAAATGTTCATTGTTTCATCAGCCTGGATGGAGACAAAGTCAGCACTCCTGATTTCTTCAATGATGCACTCTCTCAAAATTGGCAGCGTACAATCAAGGAGTTCATTCTGCACAGTCTTAGATGTTCCCTTAAACACAGTAGCAGTCTGCAGGTTCTCATGTAGAACTGCATCCAGTGATGCTACAAAATCCACCAATCCTTAAAAACACCCAGTTTTTCTGAGCTTTCAATTTCATCATGGCCACTCAGGGCAAGTTCAAATGCACCACAGAACTTGACACAGTCTATTATTTTTGATAGAATATGCCTGTTTTTGTCACCTTTCTCATTGTGCTTATGGATCTCTACGCTGTAGCCTTAATCAAGCTGAGATGCAATGTTTATTTTTCCAAACATGGCTAGTCACAATGCATTTGTCATGTGGATCCCAAATTGTTCATGCTTCTTTGACTTTTCTGAAAAATGCTTTAAATCAGTCATACCTGTCTTTATCCATGCTGGGTCAGACCCTGATGTTTGAAAAAGGAGAAGGGAAAGCAGAATAAAACATTAGCCTTGCTACACGCAGTTAGTCAAGCCTTGTTGTTAAACCAGATCCTGGAAAAAGACCAAGTGTACTGTCTCCCTCTGTCTTTGGACTACTAATTAATTGTGATGTTCGACCCACCTTGGGAGGGTGATGATACACAAATCAAGCTGCTTTCAACTCTGGGTGCAGGAGTGGTGCGCCCCAGAATGGTCCTATCTCTTGTATTGAAATGGAGTTACTGCACATGTACAACTTTTAACGAGAGTCTATGAGCAAAAATTTTTGCGCCCCAGTGCGGAAATACGTCATCAATGAGACATTTCTGAACGAAACAACTTTACTCATCATTAACTATAAAATATTTATTTTAAACAACTAAAAAATATATATACACATTTTTCGAAATATTTTTATTTTATTATTTCATTTTTATTTTATTTTTTTCCATGTTTTATTCAAGGTAATGTGGTGAGTGGTCGGGCGGCGCCCTTGCGCTCTCTATTGGCCAGCTGCCACTGGTCTCATCACTCCTGTCTTTTTCAGCACCAAGAAGTATCAGGAGTAAAAGCTCACATTTTCCTCCCTGCAGTGAACCCTGGAAATAACGCCCCAAAGACCCATCTCTGCCTGATGCCCTCAACAAGTTCTATGCACGCTTTGAAGACCCAAACAGACCCCCCAGCACCAGACTCACCTCACCACCGGATGAAGAGCATCTCAGCGTGACCTCAGCAGAAGTAAGGAGTACCTTCAGGAGGATTAATCCGCACAAAGCAACTGGCCCAGACAACATCCCCGGAAAAGTGTTGAAAGAATGTGCCGATCAGCTCTGCGAGGTGCTGGCAGACATCTTTAACACCCCACTTACCCTGGAGACAGTTCTCACCTGCCTGAAGACTGCCACCATCATCCCAGTCCCAAAAAACTCTACAGTGACTGGTTTGAATGACTATCGGCCAGTGGCCCTCACCCTGATAGTCTAAATGCTTCGAAAAACTGGTCATGACTCTCATCAAAACAACCATCAACATCAATGAGGACCCTCATCAGTATGCATACCGTGAGAACCGATCAACAGAAGACACCATCTCCTCTGTGGTCCACACTGCGCTCAACCACCTGGAGCAGAAAAACTCTTACATCCATATGCTCTTTGTGGACTTCACATCCACCTTCAACACCATGATCCCCCAAAACCTGATGCATTCATGTAAATAATGTCACCGTAATCAATGGAGGGAAGGAAAGTCACAGATACAAGGTGTTTCCTAACATTCAGAGTTAGACAGGATCTGTTTCTGAAAAAGAAACCCAGTTTAACTTTCAGTTTCTTTACTAGGTTTTCCATGTGGAGCTTAAAAGAGAGATGTGAGTCTATTTTAGATCTTAGAACCGAGTCGTCTCTCCCTCCAGGGCCCAGCGAAGCAGCTGCCTCTCCAGCATCACCCTCACTTTAGTCCGAAGCATTAGCAATATGTTGCAGTGGAGACAACGGCAAAACTTTAGATTTTTGTGTTTAGAGGCCATATTACCAGTTTATTGGCTCAATTCTGTGGTGATGCCACTGTCAGAAACACAATCCGTCCCGCGAGAGTACAGTTATAGAAATTAGTTTGCCATCAGGCCTGATGGGAGCTCTCCAGACATCATCGGCTCCATCTTGAGTCCTCCCTCTCATTTGATCATTTTTAATCCATCCATCTATCCATTTTCTTCCGCTTATCCTGGGTCGGGTCGCGGGGGTAACAGCTTAAGCAGGGAGGCCCAGACTTCCCTCTCCCCAGCCACTTGGTCCAGCTCCTCCGGGGGAATCTCGAGGCGTTCCCAGGCCAGCCAAGAAACATGTCCCTCCAGCGTGTCCTGGGTCTTCCTCTGGGTCTCTTCCCCGTGGGACGTGTCCGGAACACCTCACCAGGGAGGCGTCCAGGAGGCATCCTAACCAGATGCCCGAGCCACCTCAACTGGCTCCTCTCAACGTGGAGAAGCAGCGGCTCTACTCTGAGTCCCTCCTGGATGATCAAGCTTCTCACCCTGTCTCTAAGGGAAAGCCCAGACACCCTGCGGAGAAAACTCATTTCAGCCGCTTGTATCCGTGATCTTGTTCTTTCGGTCACAACCCAAAGCTCATGACCATAGATGAGGGTAGGAACGTAGATCAATCGGTAAATTGAGAGCTTCGCCTTTTGACTCAGCTCTCTCTTCACCGCGACAGACCGATACAGCACTAATTTCATTTTGAATTTTTATGTTTTCATTTATTTTGTTTTATTTTTTCAGTGTTCAGCACTTGGGCCAACGGTGTTGTTTTAACAAGCTTTGCAAATAAAGTTGTATTGTAAGGTCCGACTGGATTGAATGTTAAATGATTGTACTTGTACAACTCCTTTCTGTCTGATCAAGACACTCAAAGCTCTTTACCTGTGCCTCATTCATACAGCTCTCTACTAGATCTATACAAACAATAATCAGAGCTTTGTCACATTCATACCCCGATGGGACACACATCAGAGGCAATGAGGGGTTCAGTGTCTTGCCCAGGGACACTTAAGCATGTGACTGCTGGTGGAATTGAACCCCCAGCTCACTCATTGGAGGACGACTGCTCTAACCACTCAGCCACAGCCGCCCCACTATGTGAACAAACAGCATCAATCCCTGACTGTTAAAGGAGTCTGAATTCTTTCTTCTACTCGTCACTACTTTCATTTTGTCTCTGCAGGGTTTCGCCTTTGTGGAGTACGAGGTACCTGAAGCAGCTCAGCTAGCTCTAGAGCAGATGAACTCTGTTGTCCTGGGGGGAAGGAACATCAAGGTGAGCCCAGTTTGATGGTGTCGGTCATATAACAACATGTATGTCCAGTAGGGCATTAACAGAGTACTCGAGTAATCTACACATTGATTGCTAGGACATCTATCGATGTTAAAAATGTAAAGTCGGGTACCCGTAGTGACGTCATATTATGTGACCACTATGACCGTAGGGGGTGGTGTTGCACTGTTGCAGGTCACAGAGTATGATGTAACACCGGGTCCAATCCACCTCCACCACTGTTTTAAGTTTCGTTTTTGACGTGCTGCACGTTTCTTCACGTTTGCAGTTTAATAATAATAACTAACAGTTTAGTTTTTCCTGTGACTTATTTGCAGTATGATAAATGGTAGGAGCATAATATACGCTCCCAATGTTTTGTTGGTCTTTTTTTTGTAAATAATGACCTTTTTTTGCGGTTTTATTTATTTATTTATTTTTGTATATTGAGATCTATGACATCATCAAATTCTCGAGTTGTACTCGGGTTTTATTATGTTAATGTCGAGTTTAAAAATTATATACTCGTTCAACCCCTAATGTCCAGTTTACATGAGCAGCGTTGAAACTGACACAACTTGTTTCAATTAGCCAAGACTGGTTTAAACTAGCATGGACCAGTTGAAACTGGTTGTTGGTCAGTTAACCACATGCACACGTGCACACACTGTAAAACCAGCACCAATCAGTTGAAACCAGAACATTTTCAAACAATAATCGATCAGATCCAGGAGGAACAATGTGGGTTCCATCCTGGCCATGGAACAATGCACCAGCTCTTTACCCTCACTAGGATCCTTGAGGGGTCATGGGAGTTTGCCCATCCAGTCTACATGTGTTTTTTTGGACTTGTTGACGGTATCGGAGTGTGTTCCTCCTGGTACACTGTGGGGGGTGCTCCGTGAGTATGGGATTGGGGGCCCGTTGCTACGGGCTGTTCAGTCTCTATACAAGCAGTGTGAGAGCTTGGTTCTCTTTGCTGGCACTAAGTCGGACCCCTTGAGCTGGACTCCACCAGGGATGCTCGTTGTCACCGATTCTGTTCATAACTTTCATGGACAGGATTTCTGGGTGCAGCTGGGTGGGGGGAGTTCAGTTCAGTTGTCTCAGGATTCTGTCTCTGCTACTTGTGGATGATGTGGTCCTGTGGTCAGGATTTTGTTCATGAATGAGAGAAGAATGGAACATCAGATCAACGGATTGTTGAAGTTTCGGCAGCGGTGTGGACGCGGTGCCGGTTTGTCGTGTGCAACAGTGACCGAGCAGAGAATAAACTTGTGAGATCTGTTGGCATCAATAAAGACTCGAGATAAGTTCAACGAAGAAGGCTGGAGCCTCTGATGTTGACCCCTCTTATCTTTTGCCATTAAAGATAAATTTTTTTAGTTTTTAAACTCCTGTGGGGGGGGGGGGGGGTGATAACTGAGATGTACAAAGCTTTTCTGTTTTGTTTTACTCAGAAGAGCTTCCTGACACGTTCCTGTATCACATGTTGTATTAAGTTGAATAGAAACGTCTGTCTGAGGAAAACTTTGAGTTTGCTTTTATATTTAAAACCATTATTTACTTTTATGTTTTACTTAAATCATTTTTATTTTCATGTGTTTATGATTTACTTAACTCATCGATGATTATAGTTTTACACATCATTGTTTTTCTTTTAGCCTGACCCACCTGGGATGCTGAAATGTGCCTTAATGTTGTCGCCGAGGGCAGCGGTGCGATGTCACGTTTCCCCACTTTGATTAAACTGTTTTGAACTGGTTTTGCCTGTTGGGGGCGGGGTTCCGTCACATAAAGTATCCTTACTGGCAATGTTGATATTGATATTTGTAATGAAACATCCATAAACTGGGGGGTATGTCAGGGACTTTTGGTCAAAGGTTATAGGCCTTTATATTCCTGTGGTTGAGAACATTCTTCCTCTCTTCCCTAAGAACAAGAAGTCTGCAGCTGGCTTCAAGAACACCTCCTGAACTCTGTGAACTCTGAGCTGAGAGGAATATGAAAGCGAGCAGATAACACAGCTCGTGGCTCATTTCTGTGACTGGTCTTCATGCGTGTACATCTCTGGATGTTCATATATGCTATGTATGTAACTTGTCCTGAAATCTGACTCTGCAAGTATAAATATCGGTTAAACATCTTCACCTGCCGTGAGACTGGTTCTTTTGAGTACACATTGCAGAGAACAAGAGAATTTCTCCAACAGTGTGTCACCTGGAGCACAGGTGCCTCTGGGCCATGGGGGCTTTTAAAGGTGCCTCTCTGTTGTAGAAGCAGTTGAGGTTGTCTGGCAGTTTGTTTTGCAGATTGTCAGCAGTTCTTTTACCGCCCCTCATGTTGTTTGTTATTGACTCGACTCCCTTCCACATGCTTCTTATGTTGTTTTCTGTGTGACAGCTGTCCAGTCTCTGGACTTAATGTTTCTTGGCATCCCAAATGGTTCTTTGGAGTTCATATGTGGCGTGTTTACATCACTGTGTCACCTGATTTGAAGGCCATGGACCACATCCTGATCTTACTGCATGATCTGCATTGAACCAATGCTTCTGATTGGGAAACACACAAATTGTTTGGGAGGGGATGCAGATGGAGGTGCACCAGTCAATGTAGCTGCTGACACTATGTGTGTATTCATGTATGCTATCTGTGTTTTCCTTAAAAATGTTCTTGTCTGTGGTCTCAAAGCAGCCGTGGAGTTCAGCCATGGCGCTGTCGTTCCACATCTTAACGGACATGACTGTGACTGGTTCTGTGTAGTGTGGTTGGAGCAAGATGACAACATGGTCACAGGTTCCAAACTGTGCTTTGGAGACAGCAGTACAGGAGTTTCTGGTGTTGCTATAGCATCTGTCCAGAGGTGTTGTTTCCCCTGGTAGGAAAATGTACAAACTGATCAAATTAGGGGAGTCTTTTTTTCAGTGAATAAAGTATGCATCCTACATTAACATCAGCAACATCTGGATAAGAGTTTTTATGCCTGCTGATCATTGTGTACAGTTCTCTGAGTGCAGTTTGTACGTTGGCTGAGAGGGGGACGTACACGGTGACCAGGATAGTTCACTGCAGTCCATTGGGCAGGTAGAATGGTCTATAATATACTCCACATCCTCAGAACATGAATATGCTACCTTGTTGTCGGTGCTCCGGTGTTGTTTCAGAACCGGTTTAAGTCGGTCAGGTCACCAAAACACAAATATCACATTAGTTGTTTAAGTTTGATTATTTTTCCCTGTGATTTGTCTTGCAGGTTGGCAGGCCTAGTAACATTGGCCAGGCTCAACCAATCATTGACCAGCTTGCAGAAGAAGCACGTGCCTTCAACAGGATCTATGTGGCCTCTGTCCACCCGGATCTTTCCGATGAGGACATCAAGAGTGTCTTTGAAGCCTTCGGAAAAATCAAGTCATGCATGTTGTCCCGCGAGCCAACCACCGGACGTCACAAAGGTTATGGCTTCATCGGTAAGTTCAGCTGGAGTCTTCGTGTAATGCCTTAGCCATCCTCATGGTGCGCTACTTGTCCCTGAGCCAGTGGTGGTTTTTGTCTTCCTGTCTCCAGAGTATGATAAGGCTCAGTCATCTCAGGATGCTGTGGCCTCTATGAACCTGTTCGATCTGGGGGGTCAGTACCTGCGGGTCGGGAAAGCCGTAACTCCGCCCATGCCCCTCCTCACGCCAGCAACTCCTGGACTTCCTACTGCCGCTGCTGTAGCTGCTGCTGCTGCTGCGAGTGCAAAGATCACTGCCCAGGTAAGTGAGATACTGACTTCCATTTTGGTGTGAGGCTGCATCTAGGTGTAAGAAAAGTTCCTTTTGAAAGAGGTTGATGGGTCAGTATCGGGGAGGAGGTCCTGCCTAGGGCTGGGTACCTTTCTAAAAAAATCGGTACCGGTGTCAGTACCTTCACTTCGGTGTTGGTTCCTGGACGGTTCTTTTTTCGGTACCAATTTTGTAATTACTATTAATTCTAACAAGAATAAAATTACATTACACATTACAGTACCATACCATACCACTTTATTTATAAAGCACTTAAAACAGCTACAAGGCCAACCAAAGTGCTGTACAGACAGAACAACAGGTAACACACAAAGCAAAATACAAAATGAGGTAAATCAGAATATAGACATAAAAACGATGCAGATAATGACGACAAACCAGTGTGGAGCGTACAGGATCAAAACACAGATCATCTGGTGTTGAAAGCTGCTGAATAGTAGAGAGTTTTTAAACAGGACTTGAAAACCGAGAGGGAGGGGGCCTGTCTGACAAGCAGAGGTAACTCATTCCAGAGTCTTGGTCCTGCTACAGAGAAGGCCCTGTCACCTCTGCGCTTAAGACGAGTTCCTGGAACTGTGAGGAGCAACTGGTCCGCTGACCTCAGGGAACGTGGTGGGACATACGGTTGTAGCAGATCAGAGAGATGGGGGGGGGGGGGGGGGGCGACACTGTTCAGTGCTTTGTAGACATACATGAGTATTTTGAACTGGATTCAAAAGTGAACTGGTAACCAGTGCAGTGAGGCCAAAACTGGTGTAATGTGCTCTCTTTAGCCTGTACTGGTTAAAAATGGGGCTGCTGCATTCTGGACCAGTTGTAGTCGTGCAATGGAGGTCTGACTGATACCAAACAGGAGCAAACTGTAGTAATCGAACCTAGATGTAATGAATGCATGTATTACTGTCATACAGTACATATTGTGAATTTTATTTTTGAACTTTGGTATTTTTCTATTCCAGCAGTTTTCTTACATTAAAATAAACAAATAATTTCCAGTTCAAAAGACCAGTTTCAAACCAGTGACACGTCAGTGTTTAATGCTCACTGCTACACACTGAGGACCTTTTCACTGAAAAGTTTTTTCTTCAGAAACATCAACATGTCTGTTTTCTCTGGACACAAACCATTCAATTTAATTCAATTCAAAAATACTTTATTAATCCCAGAGGGAAATTAAGTGTCGTCGTAGCTCATCATCTTAGTTTCATTCAAGAGTTGTTATAGATGCTGATAGCTGATGGTAGGAAGGATCTCCTGCAGCAAATTCAAAGAATCTGGCCACAGATACTGATCCATCCACTTGGATCCAGCTTGCTGTTAGATCTGGTGGGCCTCTCGGTCCTCCTGGGTAGCAGGACTGCCCCACTGCTGGGTAGAATTCCTCCATGAGCGATAGTCACTCCTCCCAGCAGTCTGTTGAGCTTCTCGTCACCACGGACAGACAGCTTACGGTGCCGGGGGATGATCCTGGTCCTCCCGTTGTCAAAAGTGGAGTTTCCCACAAGCTCCATGATCTTGGCGGTCATGTACTTGAGTACAGCCGCCAGGTTGATGGAAATTCAACCACGGTGCCTCTTTTTCAACTCATTTGGGGCTGTAGTTGACGTATTTGAGCTTTTGAGATGTTAATCAGCTGCTCCTGGTTGTTAAAAAAAAGACCTTGTCGCCATGGTTACGCATCATAACAAATGCCCAAAAGTAAAAACGTTTCTATAAAAATCCTTCCAGCTGCACAGCATCTAGTACCAGAGGAAGTAATCATCCGAAAAAGTGATTTACATCCAGAAAAAAGAGGAATTAAAGTTTTCAAAAGCAATAACTCAGAATGAAAGTAACAGAGCTGCTCCAACATGCAGCCACCCCGAGCGGCACAATTCTAGAACAAGCCCACTCCTGGCTGATGGTGTCTCCAGCAGTAGAACATGTTCACTCTGAGGTTGTAGATGATGCTTGTTGCACACACAGATACCTGGTTGCCAGTTTGACAGCACTGACATATTGTCCCTCACTTTCCACCAGCAGGTCACTGGATTCACTGAGGTTTGAGTTGATGCAGACTTCTGCTCCTCTGTGTCTCTGCCTGAATCTTCTCTGTGGTTCTCTGGGGTTTAGGGCTCTGATCATCTCCCTAATTGACATTAGAACACAAAACATCAACAATTACATGGTCGTGTTATTATTGATCATAAAACATTATCTAGGCTGAGAGAGAAAAGCTTAACTTGTCAACAACATCCTTTACAGCTTAACTTACCTCCACCGTGCAGCTCCAGTGTAGAACGACAGCAAACTTTTAACAACAAAGTTTGTGACTGTCCTGTGGCCTCCACCTCACTTTTCTGTCTGTCCTCACGTCTGGGTCAAAGGCTCCTGTGAGGAGAACATGAACATAAACAGTAAAAATTAGTGAACTGTTTAAGCAGCTGACTGGATGGATGAGCACGTTTACAAGCTAAGCTTTATCTGTTACTTTCGATCTTTAGTTAGCTTCTGAGTTTAGCTACGTAGATAAAATAAATTTACACACTAATATTTTAAAGTTAGCGTTATTTCACCGCGATGTACGTGTTAAGCTGCAGTTATGTTAACAAACGTAAACTCACCAGCTGAAACACAGACACAGAGCTGTCCTCGGGAGTTCTTTGATGAAGACGAGTCCGGCCGTGGAATGTTGATTCAGTCCGTTTCACACAGAGACTGATTCACGCTGGGGGGCGGGGGCTGCTTCTTGTCTTCTTGCAGAGAAACACGGAGCAACTTTCTGCTCGTGTTGTCGGAGCCGTTCGACACCACACACGCTGCACACGTGACCCCGTCTGTGGGCGTCACCAGCACCATAGATATACATTATACAAAGATTAGGTGTGGCCGCTCTATACAGCTCTGGGTGTAAACACGTAGTCTGTTTGTCATATGTCTGGTGTTTTACCAGCCTGCATGCTGAAACCATGTGACACATTACAGCCAATACCGAAACTTGACACCGAAAAAAGAGTGAAGTTTCAATCCATACACCGACCGGTGCAGTTCTGTCGGTGCCATTTAAGAACCTCGGTTCGGTACTCAGCCTTAGTCCTGCCCCAGGTGGAGGAGTTCAAGTATCTTGGGGTCTTGTTCACAAATGAGGGAAAAATGGAGCGTGAGATCGATAGACGGATAGGTGCAGCGTCAGCAGTGAAGCAGGCGCTGCACCGGTATGTATGTATGTATGTATGTGTGTATGTGTGTATGTATGTATGTATGTATGTGAGTATGTATGTATATGTATGTATATGAAGCCATCTGGCTCCCCTTTTGATGTTGTCCCCCCTCGACTCCTCAAGGAGCTTCTTCCTGTTCTGGGCCCTCCTGTTCTTGGCATTGTGAACAGCAGCTTAGCCTCAGGTGTGGTGCCAATAACTTTTAAACATGCTGCTGTCCAACCTCTCCTGAAAAAACCTAGCCTTGACCCCTCAGTCATGTCCAACTTCCGGCCTGTCTCCAGACTCCCATTTGTCGCTAAACTGCTGGAAAAAATAGTGGAGTCCCAGCTGAAATGCTTTCTAGAGGATAATGTCATCTTAGAGCTATTCCAGTCTGGCTTTAAACCTCTCCACAGCACTGAAACTGCTCTAACCTCGCAATGAGGATCTCGTGGTCAATTGTATCAAAGGCAGATG